AAATTAATAAATCTAAAATTGATTAATTTTTAAATTTTTTTAATCAGATTTCTATTATTTCTATTTAGAACACATGCAGCAAAATTTGAGAAACAATTTTTGCAACGTAATTTAGAATTCCACACAATTTTTTTAAAAAAATAAATAGTGTAAGAAAGTCCACAATGAAAACAAAAATACTCTACCGAAAACAAAAAATACATTTGCATGCATGTGCAATATTGTGCATAGCAATTGAAGGAAAAAACGTGTTTGTGTAAAAATATTGTATGCTTCTACATGTTATAACAACTCTTATTAAGAACATACGTATGTGCTTTAATGGCAAATAGGGTCATTAATATTAAAAACAATAGATTACAATGTATGAAAATATAAAAATTTGAAGACTTCATTTGATGATGAGTCAAATTAAACTTTTGGTTCGAATTTATTCCCATAGAGCTGAAAATGGTTATATTTCACTTAAACCATCTCAAATACTAATAATATGAGCTTGCGATGATTTATGATGTGAGCTAATCAATTCAAGAGCAATAAAACTGCTAAATTTCAGGCATTTTTTTGAGTTATTACTTTATAACAAAATGATGTAACCTGCAGTAAGTTCTGTGTGCGTCTAAATAAAAGACCATTGAATTTCACATCTAATAGAATACTTAAACACTAAATCAGATTGAAATAGGGTTTGTATAATAAACAGGAATAATTTTGACCTTTGCTTTTTAGATCTCAAAAGTTTAGTTCACATAAGGAATATTGTTAAAATAACAGATGATAATGCACACCGTTGTTTAATCAAAAATAAATATTAAAACAAAAATTATGCAGATCTGAATTAAATACAAATCCTAATGTTTCTTATCGAAAAACAATATCATAGTATTAAGCAAGTATCGTAATATTATTACTTGTGATACTCTAATTTAAATATAATCATTGTCACTGGTAGATTTGTTTGAGGCACGGTGTCTTATTTGACTAAGCTATAATTGAAATACAGGTTGAATATAAAGTAACTTTGCTGACGCATGATCCTCAGGAGAACATATCGTTTGAATCAACAAAATATAATTTTTTACATCTATGCACTCAAAAATGTTGTTAGGAACGATTTCATAGCTCTCACAACTGGAGGTAGAGTGACAAAATTTTGTCACTCTACCTCCTCTAAATGTCTACACCATATCCCCTTTTTTCTTCAAAACGTAATTTATACAGATAAAAACCTAAATTGGAGTTGGAATTATATTTCTAGCAAAAGAAGTTGTGAATTTGAAGAGCCATTTAAGGGGCCCCTAGTAAAAAGATAGAGTTATAAATTCCTTAAAAAACAGCGAAAAAACTATAAACATTTCGGAATGTGGGGACGATTACATCAAAACAATTTAAATCATTAAATGCTTTCTTTGTAATTTTTTACCACACTTTCTTCACGTTAATAGCAACAAAAAATTGCAACGCTTGGCAAAAGCCTATCGGCGAAATTTCTTGGGCAAAAATTATTGTTCCAACTCCAATTCAGGTTTTTAATTGTAAGGATTACGTTTAGTACAAATAAAGTAGGTGTTGTCAGTTAAAAATTCTGAAATTTGTCACTATAACTAAACCTTAAAACCTACGCAACTGCTTTAATACCATTTTTGACCTAAGTGCAAAAATTTATTTAGTTTTAGTTTAGTTTTAAAAGTTTTATTAGTTGAGAAATTTAAAAGAAAAATCACTTTGAGAAATTCAGTCAGCAGTTTCTATTTTTAGTTTAGTTTTGCAACGGTACGAACTTTAAAAAATCACATGTTGGCAAAGTAATTCCAAAGTCCCCTTCTATATTGAAAGAAAAAACAATGATATAATTATAATAGAAAACTAAAATTTCAAAAGTTAAAATAGGAACAAAAGTGTAAATAATGTAAATATGTATGTAATGTAATGTAAATGTGAATAGGGAAAATACTTGAATTTCAGTCGTAATTTATATAGAGAAGAGTTATTATTTTCGCAAATGAATTTTTAAATTAATAGTTGATCGCAAGTGATAAACTTATTTTAAATTAATCATAAAGAAGACATAACCTTACAAATGAATTAACTTCAGTTATTATGATTTTATTTTTTTTTATATGAATTCAACAAAGTATTTCATTCATTTATTTTAAAAACACATACTTTTTTATTGTAGGAAACAGATATAAGTACGATAATTTATTTATGCATACATTACAATTTTAAAAAAAGTACTTTTAAATAAACTTTAAAATAATTTTTAACTATATGTATAAGTTTAATCACAAAAATATAAAATCAATTTTAATGCTAAATAATATAATATAAACTAAATAATACTAAAAATACTAAATTAATGAAGAGCAATTGAAGAGTGAAATTATTAAAGAGCAAATTTTTGTCGCGGTTATTCTTTAAAATAAATGAAAGATATTTTGTATGCAAGTATATATTTTTTTTATAACCAAATATGTATCTTTAGGATTAATAACATTTAAACTCGATAAATATAAATGTAACCTAACATTGTGAATTGTGATTAATATACTATAACGAATTGAATATTTATTGCTGTTCTCTGCGAACTCTGTACAGTTTTTAAAACGTAACCAAAGTGTGTAAAAATGTGCTAAAAAAGTATATTTTAATCCACTTTATAATCTAAATATATTAAGTTTATTTTAATGTAAAAAAGTCTGAAAGTCAGACCTAACTTTTAAACAAATTATCAGATTTATAATCAAGCACTTGTAAATTAAATTCCTCATCTTCATCAAATGTAGCACTTAGTTCACAACTGATCGAAACAATTTGCTCCAAATATAAATGGAATGCTTTATTGCAAAACTATACAGTTTATTTATGCTTAATACTTAAACAATAGTCATTTAATTCAATAATTATTTCTGCATTTATTAAACTTCTCTTTATATTGAAAAAAAAAATTTATCGAAACAAAGTTTTACTGAAATTGATAATAGTCGCTTTATTTTAGTTACTAAAATCATTAAATTTTTACATAAAAAATATTATAAAAAAGAATTTGTTTTAAAGTCAGTTTCATAACTCAATACTTTTCATGCGCTCACATCAAGTAACAATATTATTAATTTTTAGAAAATAACAACTTAAAAGAAATCATTTTTTATAAATAAAATGCGTCATATGATGGGAATCCATTCTCTTAATTTTAAATATTTTGGTTTATGACTAAGCAAAGAATAACACAAATACTCCTAAGCCCTTTCTTAATCTAAGCTTAAATGCTAAAATAGGTAAACGGTTTTATCTATGCATTATTCAGAAACATATTTTTTTTTAATTAGGCGAAAACTAATTTCAATTCAAAACATAAAGATTACTTTATTTTCTGAATACTTAGAATTTAGTTAATGGAATCATATTTTGGATTTTAAATTTAGTCGATGGGAAAAAAGACGTCTCGTTAGAGAAATGTTAAGAAAGTAAACAAAAAGAAAAAAACAACAGTATTAGACATGTTTTATACTTTAATTGTTAACAAGGTGTTCATACGAGCAATGGTATAAATTAAATAAAAATAGTGAAATTTAGCAAAAATTATTGCTTTGTAAATGTTATATTAGCATTTTCCTTCTACTTTCTAGATTCAAAAATTCAGAATATATCAATTCAGTTTTTAATTTTCTTTTTAAGTTGAATTTAATATGTATAACATAAGAAACAATTAATTTTTGTAATTTGATTAATTTAGAAGAAACATTGCTTGAAATCCATTCATTTGACCTATTTTGTTGCAAACATTCATTTGCTTCTATTGTAGTGGCATAAACATTTTCGAAAACGATTTCTTTGTATTTAATAGAAATAAATGAATATTTGATATTTTTATGACTAAAATGTTAATGTTGGCATTAATAATATTATTTATATTAATTAATTAATAATTTTTTATTATATCAATATTATTGATTATCTGAACATTTCATCCTGTTCAGTAATCTGAATAAAATATTTTACTTGCAAACAATTCTTAAGAGTTTAATATTTCAAATAAAGAATTTAAAGATTTACTATAAAACTAAATATCAATAAAAAGAACGTCATTAAACCATAAATGAAACGAAATTTATGAATTTATTAATAATTATTAACATATTAAATAATAACATTAAAATTCAATTTTCAAGAAATTAACATTAAAAATTCCACGTAAACATTCAAATAATATCACCTTTCACGTAAAGTTTGAATAAAATGGCACAAAGAACATATATGACAATCAAAATAAACTAATGTTAAATACAATCAAACTCGGTTATGATGAGAAAGACAGTAACAAATCGTTTTACTTTTAAATTTGTGTATTTTTTAATTTTATTTCAGTCAAAATTGTAAAAACAAATATCCTTAATATTCAAAATTCCTCTACAAAATGCTTAAGAAGATGTTATCTTAAATTATCTTTATTTACACTGAATTGAACTAAGTGTGTGGGCATTGTTTATTATTTAAATTTTTTTTCTTTCATAGTAAACTGTTCGACTTACAATATTTAAGATTAAGTTGTCATTAACACTCATAATGCCATTAACATCATTGATCATATAATTATTTCATAACACCTCTTTTCTTACAAGGAAGTCAATGTTTTCTGTCACAAAAAAAAAGTCGTATTCTTTCCAATTGGCAAAATTGGGTATCGATAAAATGAATGCAACAGTTAAAGTAGAAAAATATTTCTTTTACAGGCATTTATATTGTAAAACACAGTTTCTAATGCCCCCATTACCGCACTAAAAACCCATAATTTATTTAATAGATGAATAAATCCGATATAAAACACGATATCTTCAACTTTTTCAAAAATTTTTTACAAAATTTTGTCACAAATTACTCGCGCTCATATTTGGGTTTTAGGTAAGATTTTTTGTTATTAAACTTCTCAATTATTAAAAATGCACATATTATAAAAGATCTCGTGAGATCTGAGTTTGACTGTAATAATATTCTTTTACCTGCTGACGAAGGAATTGCAAATAAAAATCCAAGTGTGAGAAAAACTTCGTAAGTCCATATAACGCCAAAGTTTCCCAATAGATTGGCCACTGAAATATATGAATATACATAAAATATAAAATTTATTTCAGTCACACATTTTAAGAAATTTTGAGAAATATATAACTGTATTAATGAAATTCACAAATTGTTTAAGCAAAAAAGTAGCTTACTAATTCATTAGTTCAAAAAAATTGATATCATTTTCAAAATGTTATCAGAATATAATAACTTTTTCATGACAACAAATCACTCCTAAAATGTTAATTTTTGAAAATTGTATTTAGTCTTATAAAAAGTATATAGATATTTTTATCTAGATTTCGTAACTTCATAAATTAAGAAACAAAACCACAAGCTCATGAAATGTGATTTACGATTATGGTAATAGTTTTAAAGACTGAATGGGCTGTTTAATTCTGCATAAACTGTTTCTGAGAAACTAACAACAAATAATGCAACAATATGATTAACAATTATAAAGACATTTTCAATGCATACCATCTGCCTTAAATAATTTAATATTTACAGATAATATATTGTATATGAGTCACTTTACTCATATATAATATATTATTTGTTTATTAAAGTAGAAAAACACATGATTATTTGTAATTTTTTTTCCCCAAAAAATTATTATGTCAGATCATAAGTAAATTTATAGGAAAAAGATGTTACATACACCTAACAGAGGAATTGGAATAAAAACAAAAGAAAACAATTTATACTTTTACAGTAAATTATTTTCATAAAATAGTTGATAAATGGTTTAAGTTCACACCATTCTAAATGATTTATAATTAAAATTCATACAATTGGATTAAAATGTATGCAATTAAAATTTATACAATTGGACAATGGATACTATTGCTTAAACTATTGAAGAAATACGAAGAATCTTTGTTATTATAAAAATATTTTCCCAAGTTAAATTTTTCAAAAACATTAATTGAACACTATAATTTTTAATGTATTTATTACATAAAAAGCAATGAAACTCAATTTTCATTACAGTTTTTTTTATCTTTTTACTTTTTATATTTTTAAGTAAGAGCAATTTAAAAGGATTCATGTTTTAAGGGAGTCTTACTGTAAACAATTCTTTTTTTTCACTTTTATGTAAGACGTCATTGTATTATTTCTTATCCATTCTAATATTGCTTCTTCATTTTATCAGTGGAACTCTATTTAAAGAATAACAAAATTACAGCATATCATAACTGTTTGTAAGTCTTATTTTAGTTTAGTAAATAGTTTTATTTTGAGGAAATCAGAAACCACAAAATATTATTTTTCGTCTAACTTATTAAACTGTAATTAAAAGTAAATATAAAAAATATAAAATATATAAAAATACAAAAAAATGAACCTATTTTAAGCGATTATTTGTATTTCCTGTTAAATATCACCTCATTCTAGATAAAACTGTATATACTTTTATGAAGTAATTATCAAATATTTAGTTTGCAATTAGGATTAGATCAAATGTCATTAAACTAAAATTTATACCAATTAGAAGATAGGGTATGCTTTGTACTATAAACCTATTTTAAACGATTATTTGTATTTGCAGTTAAATATCACCTCATTCTAGATAAAACTACATATACATGCGAAACACAACATTATCATTACATTATTAGCAAATTTCTGCTCTAATTACAAATTTAATTATTTTAAGTATATTCTTCTTAAACGTATTTAATAATGCACGAACTTAACGCCGCTGCTTCTGGAATATGAAGTCTGATGTTAACATAACATGATATTAGAAAAAATAGAAAATGTAATGTCTTTTTCTACAAAATCACATTTTTGTTTATTTTTTTGTCATTAGAACATTTTAATTTTTCAGGTGTATTTCATAACTATTCTAACACAAATACTCTTTAACATTCATAAAGTGTATGGTTAAATATATTGCGCATAATTATTCTTCGAAAGACATTTATCAAAATACTTAAACATAGATTGCATTTTATTAAATTATAATGTAATGTACAGTTAATAAATTACATAATATTTTATATATAAACATAATATTTGATCTAAATATTGCACATTTAAGACACATTTCTGATTACAGACCATACGGAAAAAGAGACATAATTTTTCCATTTAGAGAAATTTTTAAAGTATAAAATATCAAAAGGAAAGCTATCTAATTTAATTACAAAATAATTACATCAAATGACTTTCCCTGTGTTAAGAGGTAGAATTGCAAATTAGGTATTTTTTAATCAATGTTAGTTATTTCAAAAAGTATGTCTTATAATTATGAATATATTTTTAAAGAACAATATTGTTTATTTCCAACGTAATGGAAACTGAAGCCATTGATTTTCGTTATCTTTAAATATTTTAAAAGTTTGGCAATGAGAAAAAGATTTCAAAGCAACATAAAACTAAACAAATTTATAAATGAAAATGTTTGGTAGAATTTTAAGATTTCTATATGTGGGGAAAAATAATTAATAAATTGATACTTTATTAAACTACTTGTGTAAAATCCATTGGAATAAAAATTCATGTAACAGTAACTATCATATAAGTAAAAAACTAGATTAAAAATAATTCAGTATGTCAACGTAATCGAAAATTTTAAATTTGAAAAAAAGAGTTCTTAACTTTCGCTATAGCTTCTNTTAGCGCCGCTTCTTCTGGAATATGAAATCTGATGTTAACATAACATGATATTAGAAAAAATAGAAAATGTAATGCCTTTTTCTACAAAATCACATTTTTTGTTTATTTTTGTTTAGTTAGAACATTTTATTATTTCAGGTATATTTCATAACTATTCTAACATAAATACTCTTCAACGCTCATAAAGTGTTAAATATATTGTGCAAAATTATTCTTAGAAAGACATTTAGCAAAATACTGAAACATAGATTGCATTTTTTTATATTATAATGTAATGTACAGTTAATAGATTACATAATATTTTATATATAAACATAATATTCGATCTAAATATGGCACATTTAAGGCACATTTCTGATTACAGACCATACGGAAAAAGAGACATAATTTTTCCATTTAGAGAAATTTTTAAAGTATGAAATATCTAAAGGAAAGCTATCTAATTTAATTACAAAATAGTTACATCAAATGACTTTCCCTGTGTTAAAAGGTAGAATTGCAAATTAGGTATTTTTCAATCAATGTTAGTTATTTCAAAAAGTATGTCTTATAATTATGAATATATTTTCAAGAAACAATATTGTTTATTTCCGACGTAATGGAAAATAAAGCCATTGATTTTCGTTATCTTTAAATATTTTAAAAGTTTGGCAATAAAAAAAAAAGTTTCCAAAGCAACAAAATACTAGTTCTTTATCCTATAGTCTTTTTAAATAACTGAAATCTATAGATAAATGAGACATAAAACTAAGCAAATTTATAAATGAAAATGTTTGGTAGAATTTTAAGATTTTTATATGAGGGGAAAAATAATTAATAAATTGATAATTTATTAAACTACTTGTGTAAAATCCATTGAAATAAAAATTTATGTAACAGTAACTATCATATAAGTAAAAAACTAGATTAAAAATAATTAAATATGTCAACGTAATCGAAAATTTTAAATTTGAAAAAAAGAGTTCTTAACTTTCGTTATAACTTCTGAACACTGTTGATAATAGTCACTTCGCCAAATTTCTTTTTTAAATCATTACTTTACATATTATTAAACAATCATTTAAAAACTGCTTTAAAAAATGTATAAATGAATTGTAATTTTATATTTATCTATAAACCATGCAATCATGTCATTAATTAATGTATATTGCTAGTATTGCTGAATTGCTACTATTGCTACGAGCAATAAACTATTATTCTTTTCTACTTCGCCAAGTAAAATAACGATTGCTTCTATAAGAGTGTTTTTAAGGAAGTAAAATTAATAATTACATTAATAGCAAACTTGTAAGTTTAATTAAAAATTATTAGAATATTCGTGTTATACTTTAACCAGATAGTATGTTATTTTATATTATTATAATGTGAAAAATATTTTATGACAGAAATTCAAAAGTTCTTTCAATACAACCATAAGTATTATTAGAAAAATTGCAAAACTTTTTCTTTCGTTTACAATTTATTGAAATGATATTTTAAAAATCGTATCACATGTAAAAAAAACATTAAAATATTAGTTTATACGCAATTTTGAAACTCATTCGCATGACTAAGTTTCATTCATGGTGTAAAAGCATTAAAATACCTATGAAGGAAACGATAGCGTTTGAGATCCAATGATTTGAGATTTGAAATCAATTAATGTTTATTAATATTTATCAATTAATGTTAAATCAACGTTAAATCAATGTTAAATCAATTAATGTTAAATCAATTAATGTTAAATCAAATAATGTTAGTTATTTGAATTGAAATGGTAACAATGTAGTAGTGACTGCTTAAAAAGCATTGCAAATTTCAAGTTTAATGCAAAGAACAAAATTATTGTTTATATCTTTGTCTCTCTTTTATAATTTGGTATTTTAAAGTACATATTGTTTGAGTTATGACGAAAACGACTGCTTTAAACGTTACACAAATATAACTATTGTTTATAACAATTATCAAATGTTTAGTAGAATCTGGCATTCTCATGAAATTTAAAGGTTTACGAAAAACATTAAAAGGTTCACTTTTCGTGCAATGGATAAGATAGTATCATATAAATGTTTATTCTATCTATTTTTAAGAAACATGACAATATTTCTAGTTACATTACTCTTATGTGGTTTAATATTCCTTTCCATATTTACGAATCATCATGCAATATTTCCTTGAAGCAGCAGATGCAAGACATTTAACATAAATAATATACGCCTTTTTTATAATTCCAACGTTTTTGTTAAAGAATATATTAATGAAAATAAATTGAGAGAAATTAACTGTACTGCAATATACAACTCCTATTTCTTCCAATTAAATTCAAAATATCTTACCAAGCGATAAATTAAAATGTGTATTATTTTGTGCACTGTCATAATCAAATCACTTAATTGTACATAATTGAGCATAATTGTCATAATTGCGCATAAATATATCCCTTAATCCCAAAAATGCAATTTTACAATGTTAAAATTTTATAAATTTTTAAATTTTTTACATGAAGATTGATTGCGAAATAGTTTTAATAACAAATATTTAAGTTTGCATTTTATAAAACAATTTTCAATCTTTAAAAACCCAGCATGATTTTTTAATTGCTTCAAAGTGTTAAAAAAAATATGGGGTGGCGCACTTTTAATTAAAACCGTTAACGTTTTAAATATAGTAATAGCAAACTAGACTGCAGTTGCATGTATATGATTTTATAATAAACATTCATTAAGGAAATTTTAACTAAATATTGTAATTTTTTTCAATTAAAAAGTGAGAAAATATAGTTAATTATCTTCGTTTTCATTCCCTGAAATCTACTGAAAATTCTATATTTTGTGAAAAAAAAGCAAATTGTTAAAATATAAACCAAACACTAATACAAAACAAATACATGCTACATAAGTCGAATCAGAAAATCATAACCACAATCAAATCAAAACAACAATTAATTTCAAATCATGACAAAACATTATATGTTATGAATAAAACAATTTAGTACAATAACATTTCTAAATAGCTTTCAGCCTAATAGTTTGTTTGAAGTTCATTATGTAGCCAATTTTGAAGAAAATGAGGCTACATAATGAATATGGTAACAGCATCCCTTTAAATATTTTAATACTTATTAATATTTTTATGCAAACTGAAATTTGAAAAATACATCTTTTAATTGAAATAATTTGGTATAAATCGTAAGTTGAATTCACTAGCTCTTTCGCTAGATTATAATATAAGTGCATTTTTTTAAAGTAACAAATTTAAAATAATAATAGTAATAAATTATACAGGATTATATACTTACTAATAACAGTAAGTATTAAAATAAATGTTGATTAAATATTCCAGTCTGCGTTAAAACCAGTTTAACTTTTCAACAAAGCAGTTATTTTAGTGCCCAGAAACTTTTGAAACTATCTTTTTACTAAAAACAACTAATACACGCCTTGAAACAAATGTCTCTCGCAAAGTTTAGTCTAGCAAATTTATTTTACATTACTGAAAAAAGGAAAAAGATAATTTCTAAATAATAACATTGGTTTCAACATATTAAAAATGAATAAATCATTCAAAACCTAAGCCATTTAATTAAAATGATTAATTAATATTTTTAACTTAAACAGAAATTGATTATAGATCTCATCTTTGTTCAAGAATATTTACCTCAAAATATTTAAAAATATTTCAAGAAATACAAGATAAAGTAATGAGCAGTTTGTGTTAAATGCACTTAATGCAATTAAACTACCTCAAAATCACCAAGATATGATTCTACTAATATATATAACTATATGGCAACAAGTTGTTAAGTAACCGTGGTATTTTTTATATTCTTAATTTCATTATATAATCATTGCTACATTTACTTTCAAATGCATAGATATTTTTCACCATTATTTTTAAATTCAAAAACATGATTTTTAAAGAAAAGAATGTTTTAATAAATTTTAATACATATATTTCCTGAAAAAATTTCGTAAATATATATTAATATAATATTTCAAGGGAAAAAGGTATTATATATTCAACTTACAAAATATAAACAAGGCAGCACCCATAAGAGGCAGCCAAGGTATCTGCTGCCAGTCAATTATTTCTAGATTTGTGAAGTAAAAGACAAGAAAGAAAGGCCAAATGAGTAAAGTATTGAAAAGTCCTAGGATACTGAAAAATAATGAGATTTGGCCTAAAGTTACATCTCCTACCATTTTCTTGAACAAAACCTGGAACAAAAACATCAGAATTAATTTTAACTAAATGTCTGTAACGTCATATTGTAAAAGTAACTAATAAGTATTAAGCTATATTATGTTTTCGAAGAAAAAAACATGAAAATATGACTTTTTCAGTTATTTCTATTTCGAGAAATATTATGGCAACATTTTGTAATCATTAGCAAAGCAACTTTTTTTATAAGCTAGTGAATTTAAATTCAAAATTGGTGCTCCTACACCAATACTAAAGATCGCAATGATCTCAAAAGCTCACGTTTTTACAAGCTGTATTTTTTTGTTTCCCAAATCATAACTGTGTTACATTTTCTTCCAAAAAAAACTTTTAATCAAATTTCTGCTAAATTTAAAAACAAAATAGTCAGGAACTAGAAAAATTAAATGAAATTTTATTCTTTGCGGAATGTCTTTGAAGATATAATAAGGATGCTCTAATAGCTTATTCAAAAATCATTTAAATATAGTTTTAAAGAAATAACAGCTTGAAATTGTAGTGACAACAACTTACATGTCAAGAAGAAACCACATTAACGAAAAAAGATTTCTCGGCGGGAGATATTTAAACTAATATCTAATTAAGGTCTGCATTACTTTTGTTTAATTAAACTTTTTGATTAACGTAGTACTACATAACTTTCAAAATATGAATTGGGTAGCGTCACCATCATAAGTCGCGAAATTAGTACATATATATATATATANTATATATATATATATATATCAGTTCAGAATTATGGATTCGGAGAAGATAGATGCATACACATCTTTCCTCATATAGATATAACAGATACAATAGTAACACTAAAAAGAGTATGACAATTTTATAAATGGTGTTTCATACAAGTTTAGTTTTTTTTTCTAATCCCATTCATACAATAACGGTTTTTGCTGAAGCATTTAACCTATTTTTATAAGTAACTGCATTTAAAATGTGTTACGAATAATTAAAAAAATAAAAGATAAAGCTTAAAAGAAGAGAAAATATTTGAGCACCCCGTATGCGAAACCTGCTGATGTTTCCTAAACGAACTATGTAACATAAAAGAAAATGTGAACCCATTATATAAAGTTTATTGCCTAAAAATTCCTTTAAAAAGTTTAAAAAATGAGTAAATTGATTTGAAATGAAATATTTTTGAATTTATGGTAGTCTTACACTCGATTACAAATTACAGGTTCCATTTATGAGCTACTTGGTTGTCTTCCATGTTAACTTAATAAATATTTCAGTATTTCTCTTCAGAATTCTTTGTCCAAAAATACATAAAATAATTTCATAAATGAAACCTCAAAAAAACGAAGATTGATTATTTGCGAATTTTACATATGCAGCGGTAATGTTGTTATTTATGAATTAAGCATTGTATTGAGTAGTATAATAAAAACATAAGTTCCAATTTGAATTTTAAATATTTTTTTACGTATCGGCTTAGGATTATTAAAACATAAAGCGAGTTTCTCTTTATATATATTTTTTTACTCTTATTTAAGTATATTCTAAATCCGAAATCTAAATTCACCTTTGATTTTCTAAATTCACCTTTATTGTTAATTATTTGCTTTTTTTTCAGCACTTATTTTTCTAACTAATAAATTTCTACAAAAATACATTTTCAAAATAGGCTTTTGGAAAAAACGCTCCTCTTAAACATGTTTCTTTTGATGTTTGATATGTGAGAATAAAACAGTAATATATATTACATATAAAAATTAGAAATACAAAGTGATTAAAAAATAACACGAAAGTGTAGTTTCTTTAGATACCATTTATTATGTTAAAATATTGAAAAATGATTTTAAAACCACAATGCGTATCAAAACCAGAGATACTACATAGTTCTTATCTAAATGCTCTAAAATATAACTTAATTTATCATTTTAAACGAACATATTTTACATTTTTAAACGAGCAAGATATTCCATATTAATAATAGTGAAGATTTATAAACAGGTTTAAGAAATGTAAACTCGTAATTATTATTATTATTTTTATTCATCTGAGTTTCGTGTTTCACATCCAATATTTCAAATCTTACTGCATATCTTCATTTAGCATATATCTTAATTTTGTACAAAAAAGTTATTCCTTTTGGAATTAAAATATTAGGCCTTACAACTTAAATGCTGGGAATAAGTTTTGCCTGATGCTATTTAATATAATATGTTTATTTATTTCCTATTCAATGAACTAATTTTTAAAAAAAGTATAGACTGAGATATCTGTAGCGAATATTAAAAAGAATAAAAAGTAAAGATTCCTGCAACAATCCGTTGTGCACCAAGATTACATGGAGATAAAGCTTCACAATGTTGTGAACAATGGCATAATTGTTGCAATGTAATCATAAACATTCACAAGTGGAGCAATATGCAATGATTCACAGAAAAGCTATTACTGATTGGTTTGAAGCTGGGTTTGCTTCATGCCGCCAATGAGGATCGTGCCCCAGACTTGCACAATGATATCTCAGTGACTTTAACCACTATTCCTTAAAAAGAATCCCTGCATTTTTTTTTTTTTGGTCCACATAGTTATAGTGAGTAATCAGATTATTGAATAACGTCAGTGTGAAATAATATTTGTCTAGTATGAGTTAAGGTGTGAACTTTATAAATAATTGAAAATGTAAAAAAGTCAGTATCATTTGTTTATCTTTAGCAGCCGCAAAAATATAAATGCAATTTTATTTTTTAGTACACTAATTATTTCTAATAAATAAGTTTCACTAAACGGACAAAAGCAAATTTCTTAATTTTACTTTAAAATTTAAATAAACTGCAACAAAATCTACGCAATGGAAAAGGAAATGTTATACAAATTATGCATTTTAAGTAAGCATTTACAAAGCCATTGGTCACTTGAAAGTATAAAATGAAATAATGTAATAAAAGCAAACAGCACATCACATATACTCTATGACAAATAGTACACTTATTTACTTTGTAAACAGCTGTTGCTGCAGCGGCTGCAGCAGCGAGTACTACACCTCCAAGTGTCAGTGCTCTAGATACGCCATCCATGTAAGCAAACAAGGCGATACCAGTATTACACATAATGACTGCAACTATCTGAAAATATACGGAAATAGTTACTTCTTTACTCATTAACAGTTATTCGAACATATTTTTATGCTTAAAACATAATGAGACGGACAAGAATATGATTTGATTTATTTTTAAAATTTTTCCAATTATACAATCTGAATGCGATGATGTCACGATCAGCAAGAACAATAAGAAATTCATACGCAATAGAAAATTGAAATGTAAATCTGGTTTTCATCCTCTTAAGCTGCCATAAAAACTGCCATAAACTTCCATAAACTGCCATAACCTTCCAAAAACTTTTGTGTCTATACCTAGATTTTGAAGAAGCTTTATTTCAGCAATGAAAAGATATTAATACGTAAACAATAAATTATAATCGAAACATAACAGCATATCTATTAAGCTTCTAATAAATAGAAATTGTAGATTTTTAAGATAATTTAGGGCAGATTTTTGGATGGTGTAAGACAGTTAATATAATCCTATGTGATATGCTTGAATTAATGTGTTTTTCAATTTAGAATCCCCAAAAAACACGCAACCATGGACTATGTACTTTCAAAACCACACTAAAGTAAATTCCGTATCAAATTGCGGTGAAAGTAATGGCACTCAGGGTGAGGGTACTTTTTGCTATAAAATCTCTTTTTACCGTAACATTTTACGGTACAAAAAATTATATGCATCGTAATTTTTAGAGTAATATTTTAAAGTTTGTCATAATAGTTTTATTATTACTGAATAGAGAAATTATTCAATAACAGTGATTCAAAGATTTTACTGTAAATATTACACCATAAAAATTATGGTATGAAATTTTGCGGCAAAAATGAATCTTATTGTAAAATGGAAGTTGTACACAGGGTAAAGTACGTTTTACCGTAACTTGATCCGTAATATTTTACATTGCAGCAATTTAAAAAAGAATAAAGGATACGGCTGGTTTTGACTTAAAATGGGTCAAATTTCATTTCTTTTTAATGTCATCAAGAGCAAAGTACAAGTCAGCTTATAACAATATTTGTGAAACTTCATTTGAAAGATAGACAATTGATGACAATTGATTCAAATCGATTGATATTGGTTAAGCTCTTTCAATTAAATTATCTGTACAATGTTAGAAACAGTATAAAACATAAGTACTTCAACTCATATATTCTAATGGATTCTTTTATCGTTATATTTTAACACAAATTCCTAGCCTTTTAGTATACTTGTTAAAGAAATATTTAAAACACAAAAGTAAAACTTGATAAATTGTTAGTAATATTGTTAATCTACATACTAGATCCAAAACATAACTTGATTTTATGAAAAAATATGTATAAATTTATACATTGAAACACATATTGAAAAATTATGTTCTATTTTGACATTTGCAGGTGAACCACAAATTTTAAGAAAATTTTGTTTTCCTTTTATTGTTTTTAATTCTTTCCCTCTAAAATCAAGCCTTTAAAAACATATATGTCTTTTATATAATAGCTACATAAGGATATCTGCAAAAAAGTAACTTTTATAAATAAATATTTCAATAATATTTTAGTTGAATGCATCTAGCAAACGTAATCTTGCTAATAATGGCTTCTGCTAATTTACTTCGTGCTTTATTTAATTTAGAAAAACTCTTTAGTATTCGTTTATTTGCCTAAAAGATACCGTACTTCACTGAGAAAAGTTTTTTAAACTGGTGATTAAATATAGTAAAATTAATCAAGCTCTGTGGGAACACCACGAAACTCGAGTTTGATAAAATTAACAATAAAATATAGTATAATATGTTAAAATTTCATAATTTTATCATGATACATTTGAGCATGGCGAAAAAATAATAATTTTTTACGTTTGCTTTACAATTATATCATTTTTATTAAATGAGTTGCCGTTTTGTATTTTATCACAAAAATGTTTATCTATAATTACTTAATTTTTTTAAAAAAAGAATTTCAGATAAACCATTACCATATGGTTTAAATGCCATTTGTTTTGGTTTTTATTACCATGATTTCTTTTTTTTAACCAAAAATGTCATCACAAACAGTACGGAAATTTAGCAGATTTATTTCTTTCGTGTGATAACAGCTATCATAAATAATACATTAAGCCTAACAACATTTAACATCTTTTCCGCTATATGAACTACACAGTGAAAAATTTCGAATCAAATTACGATATAAAGTACCGGAACTTTGGATGCATCACACGTAAAATTCATTTTACGGTAAAATCCATTTTATCTTAAAATATCATGTCGTAATTTTTACAGTAATGTTTATTAATTTAAAGGGATTCAGTAATTTTGCGATAGTTATTACTGTAAAGTTACAATATATCAGATTTTTTTTGTCTCATTACATGTTACGGTAAAAATAGATTTCTTAAAAGAATCGGCACTATGAGTGTCGGTATATTTTACCATAATTTGATTCAGAATTATTTACCATGAATAAAATTTTAAAGGGACATTTAAAGGGGTAGAGACCTCAATAAATATTTTCTTATTTAAGCAGCTTCCACCAACATTCAATTTTAATGCAAATAAAACACACCTTATAATAAACATTAGATCGTTACGTAGCTTAAAAGAGGCAGATTAAACACTTCAAAAGATTTTGAAGTAAAAAAAAAATTCCCATGAAATTTTTTTCAGTCTTGCATTCCTTTATTTCATTCCTTACACATGCATTTTTTACTACAGAAAAAGGAAATATTTGAGTAGTTTAAAACAATCTATAACGTCTTATTGTGTAATATCTTATTATGATACGAAAATGCATCGTAAACTAAATAAATTTTTTTCTTATTCAAAAGCTTTCATTTGTTGAAAAAATGGCATTACGTGGTAATTTTTGCAAAATAAATATAATTTCATTACTTTGCTCGTTTATATTCTCCAATTGTTTGATTTGGTCGTCCGTTAAATCAAACAATCCGTTGAATATATTTTACTAGTCGGTTTAAACAAATTTATAATAAAAATAGACTTTTTTTTTACAAAACTTAGGTACAGCAGTTAGCATGCTTAGACTATAGGTTTACAAATCTACGTTTCCATATAAAATGGGCTATAATTAGATTTCAAATTTCTTCCAGCTTGCAAATTATTGATACCGAAAAATATTTTAATTCAAAAGCTTTTAATTCAAAAAGTATTATATCATATCGACTTTTTGAAGGAACAATGACTTTCTATAGGGTGGGAAAGCAGTTTTGAAAATGCACCTTTAATAGAACTGGTAAAACTTTCTTTAAATATTGTGCTCTTTTCTAAAATAATCTATTTTCTAAAAAGGAAGGATACATTGAGTCATTTTTTAGTCATTTGAGGTTTTTTAAAAATTTTTAATAAAATTTTAACAAACAATTCCTAGCGATAACTTAAAAATTTAGTGAAATTTAAAATCCAATGTATAATAAACAGACAGAAATATGCTCTAAAGGCAAATTTACACATATTTTAATATTTTTTAATTCAATAATTAAAAACTGTTCATATCAAACAGATGTACAAAAATGCATCGTAAACGAAATACATTTTTTTCTTATTCTAAATGAATTATTTATAGAACTCCACCACCTAAAAAATGCAACTTCATTTTGTACCAAGTGTTTTTAAAAATTATATTATTACAAAACTTACCCAGTTGCTCATTAATTTCCTTACAACCATTACTTTTTTCTTACAACTATTTAAATAATAAACCATTAAGATACGCATTAAACAATAAACTTTCAGATAAATATTTTTTTGCTATCCTATACATAATTCAGCATACATAAAATAATTTTGTTATAATTCCGCACTAAATCAAAGTCGTTTCCCTTAAAAGTAATCACCACCCTGATTTATTTAGTTAGTTTGTCTAAATTTTCGAAACCAATGCTATTCCTATTGTATTTAATCATACAAAATGGATAATTCTGGTTTATAATGGTTCCACACTTGTATGATGTCACTTCCTTAAAATAATAACCAGCATATGTATTTTGCATAAGAGGATGAAGTGATCAAAACTAATTCGAAATTTCTCTTCTAAAATGTTCGTTTTGAACAATGGACTGTAAAGGTTATCCGTTTTTACAAATTTGATACAGAAATAATCATAACAATTTTACAATTAGCCAATAAATGAATATGTATTTTGAATTGTTTTGATAAAAAAATAAGCATAAAAATCACAAGTGCATTAAAAGTTATGAGCAGCAGTGCGTAGAAACTTTTATAACGAGACATCTATTTATGTAAGCTATAAATCAGTGAAGGAAATTTGATCGACGTTTCATCAATATTGCATACAGCATTGTTTCAACTCTATTCTTGATTAACTATAAAGTCATTTATTATACTATCGTTACTAAAAGTAGATATAGGCTAATAATATACTGTATGTTCGAGGGTTGGTATTGATGATTATTTTCCATCAGTGTAATTACCCTTATTCCAACGAACTGTTCTTGCAATAAGACCCACGAGAGAAGATAAATGAAGGCAACATTAGTGGTGTAGAGTGCTATGACGTCAGTGGCGTCCAGAAGAGTCAACGAATAGATAAACATATAATTAGAAAGCACCCACAAGATGGTGAACAAGCAGCATCTACAGAAAAAGCCAATGATACTGAATCCTCGCTCGTGATAAGGTTGTATACTCTCTCTGTAACAACAAAAATATATATTTAGAACATTCTGTGATAATTTTTCTGAAATAAATACTTTATAAAAACATCGAATACTAAAAGCCAACTTCAAGCTAATCCTGATTCATTTCAGAATAATATAAAGTTTGATTAAGCATATTTTTAATAAATATTTATGGGCTTAAGTGTTTATTAGAGGTTTATTACATGGTGTTTCGTAACAACCATTCTTCATATATATTTTCGTAAAAAAAATATTGAATCATTTTAAACTGAGATCTTCAGTGTGTTTGCCTCTTCCAAAAAAAGTAAACATGAAACCAATGATCTGAGGCCCCCAATTATATTTTGTTATTCGGTGGAAGGTTTCCCTGTCACATTTAGTAGCTCAGTTTGCTTGACCTATCAGGAATAATGGCTACGACTTTCAGTTAATTTCAATTACTTAAGTATTTAATTTATAGCTGTTCCTTATACAGGATCAAATTATTTTACTTTCTGCTTGATATAAATCTTGCGGCTTTTCCCATCATGTTATTGTTAAATTTTGTACTCATAAACCCTATAATTACTTACTCTTCGAGAGAACCCCTTTAAACTATATCTGATTAATTTAAAATTTAAATGAGAGGAAGCATCATAAAAATCTGAAGAAACATTATAAAAGTCCATCTGAACAAGAAGATTGAATAGCATAAAAGGAGAACGTAATATACTATCCTACAATAAATTAACTTTTTTGATATTTTTTTAATTTCTTAATAATACTTACAGTATTATTTTATAATTTTACAGATGCTTAGGTCATGTGATATTTTATACTTTTATATAAAATGTAAGGCTTTCAGAAGTTTGAGGAACTAAGAGTAAATTACGGATGGAAAAAAAAATTTTGGTTAGCTTGTGTCAGAATATATAGCAATAAACTTGTAAATTGTAAAGATTAATTTGGTCATTGCATGAAATGATTGCATAAGACTTCCCGACGGAGTTTATGTGTACAAGCATAAATATGTGAAGATACGGGCATGCTTACGGAAAAAAAATTGTCCGGTTTTTTGCAACTTAAAAAAATATTCAATAAGACTAAACAGCTTTTTAAAAAAAAAAACTTTTAGTAATTACAGAACTATCATTTTAAAATTTAGAAAAAAAATCATTAAAGATTACACAAAATACGATCTACACTTCATTCATACTACACATAAGCGAAAGGTACTTAAAAAAATTTTATAATTTTGTTGTACGAATCACATTTGGTAACTTATGAAAAATGAATATGAAATGAAATGAATATGAATACTTATGAAATATGAATACCATGCAAATTTTTAGTTTCTAGCAATTGTCTGAGAAGTTCTTGAAAATTTTTAGAGAATTCTTTATATACAGTAATCGTCCAAGCAGCAAAATTTAATAGGATGAGAAAAGAAAATATAAGAAAATATGAGAAAGAAATTATACTTTTGTATGGAATGATCCTCTATAATGCCAGTGTCATTTTAAAAAAAAATTGTTTAATGATACAAAATGACATTTTTAGAAAATTTCTATCATTCATATCATTTTTAAAGACATACAGAAATTACTTGAAAATTGTTAGGAACTTTTAGAATTTTCAAAACATTCAAATTGGACCTTTTTCAAAATTTACTAAATACAATTTACGTTCAAATTATGAGAAAAAATAAATATTTTCCACGCCCGTGCAATATAAAATAAAAATTTAAAATGCTCATATCATTCGCAAATTTTAACATGTTTTTTTCTGACTTGAAAATCAAAATTTTCGTAAAAATTGCCCCAAAATTCCAGTTCATTTCTACTGAATATCTTTAAATCTGTACTAAAATAACGTTAGACAAAATAATAAGCTTTTTACAAAAATGTCCGAATGTCCATAAATATTTTAACTAGCATACAAAATTTTAAGCCTTTATTGAAACTAATAACCAAAGTAATAGATACGCAAGTTACAAATTTTTTGCTATATTTTCTGAGATAAACTGCTCAAAAACATTTCTTTTTACATTTGAAATTTATTACCTGTTTCTCAAACTTCTAAAATCTTTAAACTTTAATGATAAGTATGATAAGTCACATGACCTAAATAGCTTTAAATTCATGAAATAATCCTATAAGTATTTCCCTAGAAATTTAAATAAAAATTGAAAATCGTTTCTTCCATTATGTATGTCTCAGGTAGTGTATGTTTCAGGGGAAAGTTAAATATGATGTATGTTAAGAATCACTTGTAACTTTTATACCAAATACAAACAGGGTTTTTCATGGTTATAATCCAGTCTTTATAGCTTCATTGATCACGCTAATCATTTTTCAAATTCTGCCAGCATTCTGTATTTTGTCTTTTTATTATGTTTACAGGATAGTAGTTAGAGAATGCTTTTATTATCTGTAAATACTTTATATGTCTGTTTATTATTATAACAATAATTATTAATAATTATTAACAAAATTGATAGATTTTTATATCATGATCACAAACTTTTAAAAATGAAGCTTAAAGTACAGTCAATCTTTTCCTGCATCTAGAGAGATCTTTGTTTTTGAAAGTGAATATATTAAAAAGAAATTAAACAGCTTCGTTACAGAGCTAGATAAAATATTTCATAAACATATTTTATCTAACTAGCTTATCTTTACTAAAAACATATTTTTATGCATAAAGTAGACAACTATAATTAAACCAAAAAAGTTAGCGTTCGAAACAGCAAATATGTCGCTTCAATCGTGGATAATGACTAAAACTCAAAACTTTAACTGTAACTAACTTGAATTTTTTACGCAATAAATTGGTAAAATAGTGTCTGAATTTGAATCGGTATTATAAATACTAGCGATTAACTTTTAAAAAATATGGGATTATTTCAGGTAATATGTACTTAAAAAAACATTTATTTCAAAAGCATAATTAACTATAAGTACAAAAATGAAACTCATACGTGATTTCTTTCTTAAATGTTGTTTTCTCCGATGGAGGGGCGCAGAATCTTGATATCAAATAAATGGGAAAAAACAAAAAGTTCAGTGTCGTGCAGACCCATGTTGTGAAGAATGGTGCATTGTACAATGGATAGAGCATGTAAGTTCTTTCGTCAGAGGACTGGTTCCCAGCAGTTGCTATAATGTGAGCGTTGGCTTCCTTTGCTTGTGAGTAGTCGATATACATGGCTCGAAGTAGATGCGTACCACCAACCCATGCTACGGCAACGAAGGATGTGAGAAACAGTCCACAAGACAAACGCTTCCGGTGCTCTGTAAAACATGTCCGTCTGGTGACTTGTACGTAGGCTTGCGTCTCCCTCGGGCCATCTCGGTTCTCCAACATGGCATCTCCTGGAATAGTAGATCAGAAGTCAGAACAAGAAAGTTATGGACAAATATGATACAAATACATGAATACATTGATAGAAGTTTATGTATTAACGGTTTCGCTTAATGACCAATCTTAATATATAGTTTTGGATTATTTCATTCAGAAGTCATTATTTAATACTATGTACAAAGTGAAAAAAAAGAAACACCTTAATAACTATTGATTTAGGAATCGCATTGTCACGCATTAGGGTTTAATCTTAATTATTCAATGTGTGTCAAAAGCATAATTAATATGCTACTTGGGTTACAAAAATTTTCCTGCTCTGTTTTTCATCTTTACTTTGATTTCATTCTCGGCTACTGCTGTTTTTTAAGCTTGGTTCCTTACCTTTATTTTCCGTTTTATTTCGGCAATCAGACGTTTTATAATTCAAATCACGTTTGTTTTTTCTCTTTCACTTCCGGCAAGTCTTGAGAATAGGCATTCATTTTTGAGCGTACCGACTTTCATTTAAATCTGCATATTTCTCGAGCAAATAAAGTTTTCTTAATAAAACAATATCTTAATTCTTCATATTCTTAGGATGATTTATCTTTATTATATAAAACGCTAATACGTACGTATGTATGTATGTATCAATAAAACCGATGATATTTCTTTTCTCGCGCTGGCAACAGTTTTCATTTTTAATTGATTAGATTCGGCGCGCAAGGGCACGTAGTGAGCAACCAGATAACAATAACCAGAGTGAGCATTATCAGGTTGTTCAATTCAGATTCATGCACTAAAAACATGACAATATTTAATTTAAACTCAATTAGGAATTAATTAATTAATTGAAGTGAGAATGCTTTAAAAGGCCGCTGTTGAATTGATATTTTTCTACTGGGAGCTACCTAAACGTCTAAAAAACGTTTAAGTGTTTGTATTGATTGCATTGAATTTTTTTATATTTCGCGTTTATTTAGGCATTGAATTTTCACGCTTTAAAATGCAGAATATTAGTGAAGCAATATTTGATAATTTATTTTGCTAATATGTTTCTTATTTAGCTAATGTTTTTATTTTTTCACCATGTACAATCTAAATAGCTAATATACTTTTTTAAAAGCCAATAAGAACATTGGTAGAATTCTTCGACATAAGTACAATACTATGTCTTTGATGATAAAATACTATGTCTTTGATGATAAAATACTACGTCTTTGATGATAAAATACTATGTCTTTGATGATAATATATTACGTCTTTGTGCTAGAACATTGTGTTCATTGGCGAGCGAGCGCAGCGAGCCATGGTTCACGGCGTGAGCCACATAAGATTGCGTAGCCATTCTCGGGGGTTGGCGAGCGTTAGCGAGCAGGGTGCGGAGCCTCCTAGTTTAATATATATTATTCAATTAATTCATTCGTTCAGACGCAATTTTAAGCTGAGAAATTAGACACAAAAACGGTACCTCTGAATAAACTCACATTATTTTAAACGAATTCGGATGCAGGTGTAGATTTTAGATTGCACCTAATTCTCAAAATAAATCCCGATAACCTCAAAATGAATCAATAATATTGGTATACTTTGAAGATTGAAAATCCAAACTAAGGTAAAATTAGACATGTTTGTACTGAGAAAGTAATTTTCTGTTTCCAATTTAACATATTAAATTATCGTTAGCAGATTTTAGTACTTTCAAAATTACACCCTTGAACCATTTAAATTGAGTTCGAGTACGTGAAAACCTAATAAAATTGGATCACAAGTTATAAAGACGCTTCGATTAAAAATCGCAAATTAGTATTTTACAGATAACGAAACAAATTTACGATTTTAAACACTAGCATAACATAAATAATTTCAATAAGAAAAACAAATATTAAAAATTATCTGAATCCCTTTATTTGAGAATCAAACTTAAATATGAGTCAATAACTTAAGGAAATTTCTTTCCCTATCCCACTAGAAAAATAAACTAGTCTCTTATGATATTAATTCCTAATCGACTTTGAACTGACTGCTTAAACCTGAAAATGAGTGGTGGTTATAGCTTAAAATTGCAATAGATTTTTTTCTCTCTTAAATTTTAATTTAATATCGTAAAATTGCCTAACTTTTTTAGTTCATTTTCAACAAGCATTTTGAAAATTTATCAAGCGCTGAACCTCTTGTTAAGGGATTTTTTTCTTACCACAGCCATTCAGTTGAAAGATGCTTTAATTTTATTAAAATGTTTTACTTATTCATATCCATTGTAGTGCAAACCCATGTCACACATTTGTGAATAGCAAGCATACAATATTAAAATGCAAAGCGTTAAGAAGTTTTTACACTTTTGAAAACAAACAGGGCATTTCTAGAGATTACAAACGGATTCAGTTCATTATTTATTTCAAAAAGCCAAATGCCAATTTACCTATAAATTTAAAAATCTGGAATCTGCAATCAAAACCAATCCAAATATTTGTATTGCTGTTTCAGCAAAACATAACACAAAACTTTTCACGATGGAATTCATATTCAATTTTCTTTTAAAAAATTAGGCAGTGGCACACAAGATTGAAGGCATCTTCACAGTTCTGGTTATATATACCAAAATATGCGGTATTTAAACCATTCCTTTGGTTTAAAAAAACGAATGCTACGAAACCATTACTAAAGCATTTTGGTAAAAATGTCGAGTGTTTTGACGGGTTTTCCCACAGAGCCAAAGCACAGCAAATTTTGCAATATTCTGGTAGTTTTAACCCTACTTTTTTCCTCGGCATAGCACTGAGATAACATTGATTGTTTATCTAGTATGAAAAATATAATAAATAAGTTTGTATTCAATTATATACACCTTTACACATTTTTTCTATAAAATGAAGTTTAATTTTCCATGTCTAATCAAGCTTCTTTATCTAGAACTTTTAGTAATTGAAATTTATTTTCACTAACAATAACTCTTTTATCAGAAAAAAGCATTTATAAACGGACGTTATCTTTGCAATCAAGGATCTCAAAAATAAACAGAAACGCAATTTTTTATTATATTAAAAAATTGATTAATGAGATATGGCTCATTTAATGATTTTTATTTAGCCGTATTGCGATAACTTTCTGGAGTTTCGCAATTCTAACTTCGTATTCGATCTCAGGATGATTGAATGCAAAAACAGGTTTTAAAAAATTATTTATAGAAATTCTTCTCCTGATTTAAATGGTTTAAATGATTGACATTAAAGATACTTTTTTGTTCAACATATTTAAATAATTGAGAAAAAGCACAGCATTTTTTTTCTCTTCATAAATTAACAATCTTTATTTTTTATTTAATAAATTTTTTTATGAAAAGGAAATTTCTTTCAATTAATTTAATTATCATTAATAGTAATATTCGATTAGGATATATTAAGAGAAATATCAGTATATGGAATGCCAAACAACTGTACGCTCCGCAATGACCCTTACTCATACGAATACGTCAGAATATGAAAAATCGGGAAGTAAATCGAATATAGATTCTTAATCTTAAAAAGGCATTAGAATAGGAATACCAATTTTATGCCTTTTGAAATATTCAACTTGGTAAATAATAATATTTAAAAGAAGACAGAAATTATTTTTCTTCACATTTAACTATAAGTATGCGAACCGAAAAGAAACGATGATTTCAAAATATTTTACACGTTAAAAAGTTAAAATCTTAAAAAACTAATTTAAGGAAAGATATTTTGATATGCACTGAATTGTTACGAACAATGATTCTTTGACATAAATGGAAACTTTTCTGACGCTAACTTCTACTAATCCTAATTATTATTGATAAAATAATACATTTTATGATAAAAAGATAAGTAGAATTTACATACTTAATTTTTTTAAATTCTTAATTTATAATTATCTCCTAATTTTGATATAGATAAACAACTTTTGCATTCATATATTCAGTAAAACTGTTTCAAAATAGGATTTCAAATTTTACGTAGCTTGCTATCTTCTTGTGTACATAGATTGTACTGATTTGAGTATATATTTTATTTGTATATCGAAAATAGGCGAAAGTAATTTTGATTTGTGCATTAAAATTTGAAATGTAAGCATAAGATTAGGAGATAGAAACTATTCCAAAATGTATCAAGCATAATAACTTACAATAAAATATGTTTTTTTTTTGCTTTAGTAATGTTTTTAATGAAGCAAAACAATGCTAATCAAAAGAGAAGACGTTTTATAATAATAGTTTAAATTATGCAGACTTTGAAAATAAATTTAGGATATTATTTTGCAGGAAATAGGAATGCTAGGTTTTAAAATGGAAAGAAATTAAAAATTAATTTTTTATGTCTAAACAAGAATATTATTCTATTTTAAACAAAAGATATATGTTGACTGAATAAATTTTCAAAACATTCTATATAAAATATTATTATAATCTCACCATTGAGTTCCCAATTAGCAAACCCTAATCCAACAGGTAACATATCACATATAACAGAGTAAACAACCGATAGAAACATGAGCCACAAGAGACTATGAAAAGCTATAAGATTACAGATGCATCCGAATATGGAAAAACGTTCCTCATCATCAAGCAGCAGTGACGTCACAGCAGTCTTAAAAACAGTAGGGTATGTACAAGTGACGTCACTCTGTACCTATAATAATCAGGAGTATTCCTGGCTGCGGTGAGGTGCTAAAGAAAATATGTCGTAAAGATCAATCTTTAAAATGAAGGACAAAACACTCTGTTGCTCTATCTCTCTTAGTCGCTCTCTCACGGATCGGAGAGTAGTCATGGCAACATGTCGTTGTCATGGCAACTGAAACTGACACTCCATGATAAACGTGCTTTTTCGAATCGAAATTGGGCGGAGTTTAAGGGAGGTATCATTACAAGGAAAAGTTAGCGCAAATAATTATAGTATTAATCATCTTGGGAAAGAAATTTCGTGGAAAGAACAAGCAGAAAAAAAAGATACAGGTATTAACCAAATAGTATTTTAATTTAAAAGCTCAATTAGCAAAAGGAAATAAAATGAAATTCATCAGTAAGGTAATCGCACTGCATACATATTATATGTGTTGAAAAATTAAAGATAACTTCCGCAAATTGCTAAATTTACTACTGTAATTTTCTGTGCTGCAGTTTTTCTAAAATATGTTTACCTATATTTCCCTCTTATTTGAATTGAAACACCTGCTTGAATTTGAGTTTTGATTGTTTGCTTCAATTAAACAATCCTCTTTTAGATGCGCTTAAAAATAAATTATATTAAACTCACAAACTAAAGAAAATAAAAAAGATCGTATTCGCTAATTTTTGATCTAATTGGACTGTATTATTTCCATCATGTATTCTAATAATTCCATCCATTCCAGTAGACCAGTGTTTCCTCTTTCTCCCTATAAATGGCACCACCAGATAAATTAAGCTCCAATCCAAGGTTTATTTGACAAAACACAACTCAAACATAATTTAACTCCAGGTTGAATTACTTGAGTTTAATGATTGAGATACCTAAGGTTAAGGTTAAAGTTTAATTTTATTTTTGCGGTTTAATAACCATGGTAATTCTAAATTATCACAAGAATTGATCATATGGCAAGAAATGGATCAGATTCTAAGGCTTATTAGGAAACCTAACAATTATTACAAACATGGTATTATTATTTTTGTTGTTTATACTCATTAAAATTAAGTGTTATAAAATTTTGCCTTTCTATTCATTTCACCATTCTACACTGAATCAATTTAGAAGATTGCAATATACAAACATTTTATTAATACTATTTGAGTTGAGGTAAAATAACAATATATCTCCACCTATTTTAAATGTTCATTGCAATAATTTTAAAAATACAATACATAGGGGAATTTCACCATTTCACCATTCTACACTGAATCATTTTAGAAGATTGCAATATACAAACATTTTATTAATACTATTTGAGTTGAGGTAAAATAACTATATATCTCCACCTATTTTAAATGTTCATTGCAATAATCTTAAAAATACAATACATAGGGGAATTTTAATCAACATATAACCTTTAATTGGAAATTTAATGTGCTAACGTTTAATGAATATTAAAATGCAATGCATTTCAAATGCACACATTGCTGATAAAAATCGGTAGAGATTTTGTTTTATAACCAGCGTTGAGCAGTCGACTCAATTCTGAGTTCCATACCAATTTCGACCCAATTCAACTAAATAACCTCGCAATTTTGCATCCAATCCAGAATACAAGAGAATTCCTGGTTCAGTCATTGGGAAAATCTAGATTTCGATCAGAAATTTTTGGCGAAAAACACACATTTGAGTTACTTGCAGAGGAAAATCACGAAAACCTTCCACGGTTTGCCCGAAGACAAGAGAATTCTTACCCATGTTCCCTCTACCACTGAGGATATTTAATACTGTCATTGTGGTCGTTGCGAGACGGGAACAGAATTTGTATCAGCTTGTCATCTCAGAGATTCGAACCCGCGTTACCTTATTGGGAAGCAAATGCTTTATCCACTTAACCCCAGCAGATCAAATTTTCAAAATTAGAAAACTGAAATGTCTTAAAAAATTACAATTTTTACAAATCTGCAATATCTAGAAAATGCGTTTTAACACATTAATTTCGTTGGTCGTAATTGTTAAATTTTAAACAAAAGCTTGAAACTTCCATATCTTTTTATTTCCTTTCTTGCTTTATTTTTTTATTTTGCTATATTTTTTTCGTTATTTTTTATTTTTCAAATTAAAAAAATTAAGAATTTTAAAAAAATTACAAAAGTTAAATTACAAAATCGGACGCAAAAAATTTGTCTTCCTCAACACTACAATATTGAGGATATATGCCTTCTTCTTGACTAACAATTTTACGTTGGGCTTGTTTTATGTTGCTGCTGCCTGTCTCTGATATCCAATTAAATTAAGAGTAAAGCTCTCATTTGTAGTAGCTCTATCACATAAGCAGCAAAAGCATAATATTTTACAAAGAGAAGCTTTCAGTTTCCTAATATGAGATGTTATCTTACTTTAGGCAACGCGTAATATAATTTATCAAGAAACATTCCTCTTCACAAATTCAAAAATTGCTTTGAAATTCATACGACCATGCTTATTTTTGACATTTTTAAGACAAATAATATATAAAACATAACAGAATATTCACTGGTATTTGGTCAAGAACAATACATTTCATTGAAGAATTTAAAAACCCAACCAAATATTTTTTGAACACCATCATTGACCACTTTTGCTTTTCTTTTTATTACAGATTGTTTTGTTTGACTCCATTTTGTCTTTCGGCTAAAATAGGAGTATCGAATATTAGAGTACTATCTCCTCCTTAGGCATCTTTCCTAAATATCTTATGTAAGATTCGTGAACTTTTATGGTCTTAATTTTGGAATACGAAACTTGCTGAATATCTACAAAGTAACTTTCAGCTGTTTGCAAATAGTTTGACTATAAAATTACATTTTTAATCTTTACTGTTGTTTTTTTTCTTTTTATTTACTTCAATCTAACGGTTCCCCAATTTTTCAACCGCACAAAAATACATGAATAATTTATTCTTCTGCACGCAAAGAGAAAATTTGGAACAAAAACAAAATGCTTTTGAAAAAAATTATCTATTTTGAAAGTAGTTTTAAGAAATCACTCGGTTAGAAATAATCAATACTACAAACCTTGATGTTTAGGTCTAGAGCATTATTTCAAAAAGTCTATTTATCACGGAATAGCTACATTTTAACGAATTTTTAAGATAGAGTATAACAATAAATTACATAATTCTCATGTATAATATGAGTAAGACTTCTTTCTTCAATACGAAATACAATGCTTTTAGTTTGAAACACAATTTTTTTTGAAAACATTATATTTATGTTTTCTTAAAAAAAAATAAAAACAAGCTAAATGCTAGGATGTAGTCATTAATGTAAATTAATAAAGTTCTCCAATAATAATGTTCAGTTTAAAAAATACATTGAAAATGTTCTAAAACTTAAATATTCATTGATAGTCAAAATCAACAACACTGATATTTTTCTGTATTTCTCTTGTGATATCCGTTTTTCAGTAGTCTTAAAATTTTATATTTATCAGCTTATAGTTAAATGTGTGATAATTAAATAACAAATTAATGGTATTTGATGAAATATAATTGTAATACATATTATAATGTATACAATTATGCATTTTTTTACGAAAATATTTATAATAAAATACATATTTTAGAATCTGTGTTTAGACGAATAGGTATAATATTTAAATTTAACTGATTAACTAACACTTTTTATGCTGTTTTCAGCAAACCTTATCGAAATAAAAATATAAGATTTAAAATATTTTCGATATTAAAAATAATACGAATAGAATAATAAAATATTGTCATTAAACATTATTTCGAAACATTGATGCCAATTTGAGCTTCAACAAAATTATCTTCACAAAATTAACAAAACGTTCTGTCATTATTAAAAATATTTCAAGAAGGACTTCATTTTTATGTGATTAGATGCCCATGCTTCTTTTGGGAGAAAGAATAATATTTTTAATAAGCTTTATCTGACAGAAAGATGGCATTGGTGACTCAGCAAGTCGATGAATTAATGAGTGGGCGTATTAGTGAATAGGGTAGCATGTAAATGAGCGTATATAATTCTTATGTATGATTCGCAATTCAGTGACTTGACATGTGAAGAAAGAAACGAATAATTTACAAACAAATTAGTTAATAGAAGAATCAATTTATAAATAAAGGAAAAAAATCTAATAAAGTTATTATTTATTGCACACATTGTGAGAATAACCACAATATTTTATTAGTTTAAAAAGGGTTTACATACCTACTCTTCACTTCTTGTCTGCTCCTTTGATTATATATAGGATTATAATTAAGATTTTATTATAAAAATTAGATTAGATTGTAATATAATTTTTTAAATTTTTATTATTATTTTTTTTATTTTAAGCATGTTAGAAACTATTAAGTTAATTATTGCTACAGGATCAACTGCAAACAAATTCTACTTCTGTTCATTTATTGTAGAACTAACGTTTTGAACCAAAAATGATATATTTTTATTGAGTTAAACTTTATAAGAAAATTTTAAGATATTGTGTTATAATAAAAAATAAAATTAAACATTACAATTGAATTGAAGAAAACATTACTGAACATAAATAATTTTGACAACATATCAAATTTTATTTCTTTTCAATTTCGAAGTTTGAGATTTGAAATGTATATGTAAAGTAAAGTAATGTAATGTAAAGTAATGCAATGTAAAGTAATGTAATGTAAAGTAATGTAATGTAAAGTAATGTAATGTAAAGTAATGTTATGTAAAGTAATGTAATTGTTTATTCATAACTCGACCTGCCCTATTTAAGGGCATACGAGTAAAGTAATGTAGTACGAGTAAAGTAATGTAATGTAAAGTAATGTAATGTAAAGTAATGTAATGTAAGGTAATGTAATGTAAAGTAATGTAATGTAAAGTAATGTAATGTAAAGTAATGTAATGTAAAGTAAATACATATTTTATTTAATTTTATAAAACTGAATAAGGATTTGTTTCCTCTTCATGCTTATCAAAACATTAATTTTAATTTTCTAAATAAGAATATATTGTAAAAATAGCTTTACATCAATCAAAAAAATATTTTTAACTACATAAATTATTATTTTTTTAATTGAGCTTTATTTTTTTAATTAAAATCTTAGAATTTATAAATTTAAAAACCTTTTCAGTCTAACTCA